CAAAACCTTAAATTATAACAAATGAATTTAGTTCAGACAATTTTATGGTCAGCTGAAGTGCGTATTGACCGTCACTATGGTGCAATGAATCAAACGCTAATGTGCAATCTAAGTGCATATATATATATATATATATAAGAAAATATATTTAAAAGGTGTTTATATTATAAAAAATATATTAATATTTAATTTATACTAATTATATTTTATAATAATTACTATTACATTATTTATAAAAAATATTATTGAAATAATTAATATTTATCTTGTATAATTATATTTAATTTTTTAATATTGTTATTTAATATTTATGTATAAGAAAACAAATATAAAAATAATATTTCTATATATTTTTTAAAATTACAAATTTGGCCCAAAGTACTCAATTGAAATATAACTAAAATTTCATAAATTACATCTAAGTCCTTCAATACAATCTAATTCTCAAAATTAAGCCACACATCTTAATCTAATTCTCAAAATCAAGCCACACAATTTGAAATTGGTGCAGCACTTCCCCCATGGCGGTGGGCGGCGGGCGGCGGGCGGCGGCGGATGTCGGGGATGAGATGCCGTCGGCGATCGAATGGTTGAACAAGGCAGCGGCAGTGGTGGAATGGCGGAACAGGGCGGCGACGGCGGCGGAAAATGAATCACGCGAACAAGACGACGGAGACAGCTAGACGGCTGCGACTTGTGAGGGTAGACGAAGTAGACGACAGATGTATTGAGACCGATGGAGAAGCAGAATGTCGTCTTTTGCAGCCGCCGGAGATGCAGATGTCTTCGCCTACAGCCGCCGGAGGCGCAGAAGCCGTCGTTCACAACGCCTGCTTGCGGTGGTCGAAGATGAGAAGAGAGAGCGGGCGGAGGGCGATTCGGCGGCGGACAGATGATGGCGATTGCGGACGGGAGGTGGCGGAGTGACTGTGGTTTGCCGTGATTGTGTGCGCGTGTGTGTGTTCTTCCATTTTTTCTGTGTGTGGGTCTGAGAGAGAAAAAGTGTGTGGGGGTGGGGTGGGGTGGGTGT